CCCAAATGCAGAGATGGAAGCTTAGGTTGTTACTTGCAAGTTTAATAATCCAAAGGGGTGGCAACTGACGAAAAAAACGCCAAAATACAGAAAACAAACAACTAGAAGACTTCAGAGAAAACACACATGAGGAAAAAGAAATGACGAGGAGCCAGGAAAGAGTGACTGAACAGGAGGTGTATATATGGGAGACAGAAACAATGGGAGGACTAATTAGCAGACGAGGAACAGGTGTGGACAGAGGGCTCTAGAAGCGCTCTAGGAGAAGGAGACTGACACAAAAGGTAAAGAAGAAATATATAAGCACTCAAATATAATAAAAATAACTAGAATTACACAAAATAGAAATAAAACCAATGAAAACTCAAAGTAAAAACTTAAACAGAACCAAAACCACTACATAAATGTTCTTCTGTCTGAGAGTCAACTTCTTTGCTTTATGCAGAAAATGATTCTCTGAAAAACCTCAGTGAGAAAGGAAGCAGAGTGAATGAAATGTCACAGACACCTTTTAGTATTTTTCTGGTGACCTGCTAGCAATGCTATGCATGCCTTTAGCTTTAAACCTGCTGACCCATTAAAGCTGAAGGGACCTATTCTAACATTCAGAACTTAGAGATTATGCTTGATTGTTTCTGCACTCCTGGTTCTGATCCAATGAGCGGTTTTCAAATAAAACAAAGCTTCATGTTATTCTGTTCTGTCATCTGGCTTTTCTTTCTAAATAGAAGAAAAAAATGTATAAATGTATAAAAAATGTATAAAAAAATTGCCTTTTTGGCAAAAATCCCATTTGACTTTTTTTTTAGTTGATGAAATAAAAAAATAACAGAGATTTTATGAAAGAATGTCTCCAAAGTAAATTAACTATAAAAAGGATTTAAAAGCTTTACATGTTACTGCTATAAAAACTCATAATGAGGATATTTATCTACATCACATTTAGAGTTGATTTCTCCAAGTAAAGAAAATAATCTCAAGTTTATGTCTAATTTTTCAGCAAATTGGTCCAGAGTTTTAGATTTTATGTTAAAATCTGGTAAACAATTTAAAATAGACCCCTGATACATTTTACTAACTTTATAAATTAGGTTTTTCCAAATGATCTACTCACTGATAAATTCGTTTTTCAACATTAATATAAATGTATCTACATTCACTTTCCAAAGCAACCGGTTTAGATAAATCTAATCAAATGATATATGGTTCTGAAATGGTTTGATCCAAATTATTGAGACCTTTAAAAAAACAACTTCAGCTTTCATAAGCTGACATAGCTTAAAAAAATACAACTTTAATTCTAAATGTTTACATTATGTTAAGTAGTGTTTTTAATTTAATACATTAACAAATATTTACAGAATGTTTTTGTCAAACAATTTAATATGCTCTATCTGTCATCCAGAAACTCTTTTACAATTCCTGGAGTACATGTTTATATATTTGTCCTCTTATCTGAACAAGACTTAAATAACTTCAGTGGTCTCACTAAATACAGTGAGTTTAAATATACAGTCAGAAGTAATCTACAACATAATAAGTAAGTTAAAGCTGTAAATAAATGCCGGCAACATTTCCTGATCAGGAAGTGCAGAAAATACATCATGCCCACATTTTTTTTTTTTTTTTTCAGATTTTAGCCCAGAGCTTCAGTTTGAGCGGCAGATGGAAATAGAAAGTCCATTCAGAAGTCTCTGATCTTTAAAGTGAATTTTAGAAAAGGTCAGACTGATCTACCTCTCCGTCTGTCTTCAGGATCAGCTGTCACTGAGAATGTTTATCATCTCTGGCAGCTCATCCGTCCACATCTGTACACATCTGTCTGTCTCTCCTCACCTTTCCTTTGTTTGTCTGACTTTATTCCTCTCAGGCTGTCTGTCAGTGACATGAAGAGGCACGTTTACACATCAAAAGGACTTCGTTCAGGCTTGGATATCACTTGGGGTTGCATTTAAAATTTTGTCTTGGAGGAGTTCATAGCGTATCTGATCATCACCGGCTCCTATATTATCATAAATTAATCCTCAGATGAATAAAGTTCAACCTCGGATCGAATCTTTTCTATCACATTACACTAAAGAATGGAGGCAGCAGATGGTTTACCAGAATCGCTTTGAGGCCAAACTATAGTTTTTATTCATGGCCTCTGTTACGACCCTTCTAGGGGTGGCCAGATCATAACATAACGATCCATCCTCTTCAGATCTCAAGCAGGCGACACACATGAAGTTGAAGATCTTATGAAGTTATTTATTTCAGAAACATTTTTTTGATTGAGAATTTACAACAAGTGGAGCATATGACTTCAGAGAGAGCTAATACCGAAAACAACAAATAAAAGAAGATTATCTGAATATTAATCAAATTACCTAATTGAAAGTAAATAAATCAAATGACAAAACACTTCCCTGCCTAACTAATTAAAACATGAGAAAACTAAGTAAACAGAAGCAGCAGCTCACTCCTACAAGCTCCAGAACTTTTACATGATGTTAAACAGTGTGGCTGGTCGAGATGAGATGAGGATGGATGCAGGGCGTCTGCCTCCACAGCTTTTATATCCGTATTATATATCGATGACAAGCACCTGCTCACTGATATTTACATAAGTTAACACCAGTCATAACAGCCTTACTGAATTTTTCCCAGATCCAAGTTTTTGCCTCTGTAACGACCGAGGCAGCAACAGGGTTGACTTTTATTCAGGTTTTTTTGCCTTAAAATAACTCCAGACCTGTAACTAAACCTTTGATTCATTGGTCCATCTTTTCACATTCTTTAAAACAGGTTTAGCAAATTTAAGTTTCTGCCTGTAAATCAGAAAAGGTTGAACCAGACGGTGATCAGTGAGTCTTAAACTTAGTGTTATGTGTCCGTTAATGTTATGTTGTTGTGGTTTATTGCGTTAGTATTTATAGTAAGACCCCTAATATGCTGCTCCTACTTTGTAATGATGTAGCTGAAGTTTGTTTTGTTAAAATACCCCAGAAAAATAAGCAAGGAATCACGTTTTTTTCAACGGGTGACAGATGTTTGTCCTGCAACTAGAGGGTCGCTTTTTTTAACCCCCTCCATCCATTTCCGTCGTTGTGTCCTTAGGCAAACCCTTTTCTTGTATTTTCGCGGTCACATTGTCCCTCTATGACAGCCGGTAGTGGTTGTGTACAGTACCCAGTTAGTAATCTGGTCAGTCTAGAAAAACCTCACTAACAGATATAATATAAACAGGGACCAGGACAAACAAGGACAATTTCCATGGTGAATAAAATGGTTTGCTGTTAATGAAAAATGTCTCTAGGTGATGACTGCATGACATCAATACACCAACCTCTGTAGGAACAGAGTCCACCTGTCATGATTTTACTGAAGTTCAGACCCAAATGCTGAAGACCAAACAGGGAGACCAGGAGAAAAGGTTTAACGGGTTTATTGAAGAGATAATGCAGAGAGAAGTGTTGCTCTGAACACTGCTCAACTGTAAAGTGAGAGGAAGACACAGCGGTTAGTTCAGGCTCAGTGCGAAATTTGATTCGTGAACTTGGAGAAGAGGATCTGGTTGCTGCCTCACGTTTCCAGAGAAGTTGTTGAATCTTTGACTACAGTCGGTATGCTGTTGTTCCAGTGTTTGTCTGATTTGGTGGAGGGCGGAACAGAGTTTACCCAGAATGCGGTTGTTTGTAGGTGAACGGAGAAGCTGACTGCCACTCAGATTTCCTGCGGTACTTGGACGGGTCCTAGTGGAGATGAATGCCTTTCTCAGTGTGAAGCTCTAACGATCTCTTGGGGAAAGTGGGTCCAAACCTCCTGTTTGTAACCCCAGCTCAGCTTGAAGCTCTATTGATCCTTCCAGGGAGAGAAGGTCCGAAAAATCCAGTTTGCAGGATGACTTCCTGCTGAGAGGCAAACACAAAAACAATGTTAAAACTCAGGTTGACAAGAACTCAGTTTGACTCAGCAAAACTCAGCTTGGCTAGAGTACCCAAAACTGGCAAACACTCTGGCGTCGAGGTAGTGGCAGTCAGCAGCTTAAGAGCACTCCGTTTAACGAGGAAGCCATCAGCAGGTGTGTGAGGAGGCGGACCAGAGTCAGGCGCCTCCTGGTGGAGGAAGGGAGACAAACACAGAAACACAAACACACAGACAGGAATCCTGACACCACCTCCTGAGCTGCATTACACCGTCTGCCCAGAAATGACAGAATCCTAAAAGCTAGGATGTAGGTTAACAGAGAGCAGCAGATCTGCATAAGTCCAAATGGTTGAGTTAAGGAAAACGGTTGAAGCATTATATTAGTGAAAGAGCAAACATTTGTAAAGTGGATAGAGGGGAGTGTAGTGCAAAGACTGTCCTGTCCCAGTTTAACCAGCATCCCATTCCCCTATGGTATCTGGGTGTCCAGTGTATTCCATTGAAAGCTGCTGTTCCTCCATCTTCTGTAGCAGCTGGGATAGTTTCAGACCTGACCAGACAAGATGGAATAGTCTGAGCAGTTTAAGTCTGATGGTTTCAGAGTTCTTTCCTTGTAATGGTTTCCAGGGAGTAATGGCAGGAAACAGTGAGAAAAACACAAAAGACACTTCAGGGCACAATCCAGGGAAGCCATCATGATGTCAGCATTGGCGATGAAGTGCCCTACTAGACCGGATTCCAGGATCGACTGGGTGACATCATTAGCCTTGATGTTTTAATCATTATAAAAGCTTTTTAAATGCAGTTTTTCTGATGCATCACACTATGTTCTTGCACTACCAGGTGCATTTAAGTCCCAGACAACATAGCCTCTGTGATCACCCAAGCACTATAACCCCTCTACAAAATAATGGAGGCGGTTCTAGGTCATCTTTAATCATCATTATTGACTAATCATGTATAAAAACTGACTGAGATGCTTTCCTTTTTTTTCTGGTTTATTTATGAACTTTTCTTGTAGGGCAAGCTGTTAAGGTGCAAAATTACTAAAACCGGAAAAATTGCTAAAGTTTCCATTTATTGCACTTCAGGACCGCTGGTTGTGGCGCCTGAGGAACAACAAAGTCCTGGAGGGTTATCCCATAGAGATTGAACAGTTTTGGAAAGGCTTGCCTCCTCGCATTGATGCCGCCTACGAGAGGTCTGATGGAAAATTTGTCTTTTTCAAAGGTAGGATAACTTCTAACACAATCAGTAAATTCTGACACAGTTTTAGCTGTTTCACAACATGTACCCACAAGGCATTAATAATTTATGTGTTAGTTTATCTCATCCGTCCGCCAAAGATATACCAAGATGTCCAACATTCCACGACTTTGTTTTTGAAAACATTGTTTTTTTTATTTCTAAATACTAAATTTTTCATTTTCTAATTCTCCTCATCCATGCAAACATCAGAGTATGCTGATCAAAATGAGAAATTGTTTCAATATTAGTTTAAAAACACTCCTTAACAATCTGAAAGCCTTCATTAAGTCTCTTGAATCTTTACAAAGATCAATCAATCAGTCAATTAATCAATAAATCAAACAATACTTTTAAAATACTGTAGTGGTAAAAAAGTATTCAACTATTCAACCCAGTTCAATAAACAGAGATCGATGGATTTCACTCAGCCTGCACTTTATTTTTATATCTTTGCAAAGAGAGAACATTTCATCATACAGCCCGTACCGCTCTGTATTCAGCCCTGTTCTGCCTGAGCAGAGTGTGTTCCCCGTACTTATAACAATGGAAAAGACTGAGTTAAAATGTTTACAGTGATTAAATAGTGTAAATTAACTTATAAAATAAGAGAAATCAAACTTTTTCGGACCATAGTTCCAGCCTTTCGATTATAAAAGGACATTATCCTTGTGTAATCGATAGTAAAAAAGGAAAATTTGTGAAAGCCATTGAAACCACTGGAGACGAATGCATTGGGGAGGGTTGATTTGGGCAATAAATGTTGTTTCTCTTCTCTACTTTCCTCAGGTAATAAGTTCTGGGTGTTTAAGGAGGTCAAAGCTGAACCTGGTTACCCTCAGAACCTGAAGGAGCTGGGAAGCTTTCTCCCGAAAGATGGCATTGATGCAGCGGTTCGCTGGGAGGTCGTTGGGAAAACCTACTTCTTCAAAGGAAACCAGTACTGGCGCTACAATGAGGAAAAGCGAGCCGTGGACCCAGGATACCCAAAATCCATCAGTGTTTGGGACGGAGTCCCTGACTCTCCACAGGGAGCCTTCACCAGCAGAGAGGGATGTAAGTGGTACCGATTTACTGCTTAGACTCTGTTTTTTCCTTTTTTTCCCCTTAAATCAGTAGACATTAGCTCAGCAGCATCTCTCTACTTAACAGTGCCATGATGAAAAGTCTTATATAAAAGGGTGTTGGGTGAACATTCTCCTTTCCAGTTGCATAGAAGAATCCTGAAATCTGATCTTTAAACCAGATTAACTGATGTAGTTGGAGAATAAGTGAAGGACATGCAACTTTGTAAATGGTGAGCATATCTGCCCCTAAACATTAGTAGAAGGTTCATTGTGTTAATGCAATGAACAAGCAGGCATAGAGAACAGTTTTGAAGCCAGATTGTGTCTTATGTTAATCAGTTTATTAAAAGAAATTAGCCGCAGGAAAGAAAAGCACTACTGAAGAGTACTGAGGAGCAGGTGAAAGACTAGAAGTAGTAATGAAACAGGTGCGGGTCAAAAACCGGCACCCAGAGATGAGCACATAAATACAAAGAACTAGTCTGTGATCAAGGTCAGGCTCGGACTGGGAACCATTTTCAGCCCAGGAATTTTTCCATCTGACTTTTGGATAAACAAGTATCACTGATACAAAAGATAAATCACAATACTGACTATTACAGAACTATATTTCTGCTCTATATCTCTTAAATGAAGTTCATTCAAGCAGTTTGCAATTGAGTGAATCAACACAACTTTGTGTTGCTGGTGCATTGCTCCTCAGCTGCAGTTTTCTGTGTGGCCACCAGGACTCAAAGGAAAGGATTAATCTGACAATATGATTTTATAGTTTCACTTTAGATTATTATCGTTATTCATTTTAATTAATAATTCAAGAATTAAAAAAAACATAATTTTTAACTGGGTTTGTACAAAATGTGAGATTCTTTTGTCAAATGAAAGCATAATCTTATCAGTGTGAAAGAAATTACTCTGGGTCCCTGAGCATGATCCTTAACCCCAGACTGCTCCCTGGGCGGCGCACAGTGGCAGCCCTCTGCTCCTGAAGGGGATGGGTTAAATCCAGATAGTGAATTTCCCCATTTTGGGACGATACATTTCTTTATTATTATTATTGAAATTATTTGAAGAGATGAAATCATTGAAGATGATCCTGAAAACCGTGGTCTTGGAATTGTATTGAATGTGCGCTAACAACACCAGTTCTAAAAGATAGGAGTTACTGTGCTCAAGGTCTTGTTCAAAGTGTACATTTTTTAAAACAGTAAGCAATTAGAAAAAAATTATTGACCGATTCTGGTGTTGGGATCTGGATTAGGTTGATATACCAGCAGATGGTGTGAAAAATGCTCCTAAAAAGGTTTTTGGGAGCAAAGCTTCAAACCAGAATTTTTCCCTGTAATGCTCTACCTGTATTTTATATCTGTCTCAATACATGGATGCTCCTCCTTGATGCTCAAGGACTCCTGATTATGATCCTTTATTTAAGTTTGTAAGGTTTGTTTGAGTCAAAATCATTCCTGAAAGCCTTAACGACGGTGATGGAAAGGGACATTATGACCAATAATCTTGGTTTAAGAATTTAAAAAACAGCTTTCCTTCTTTTATTAACATTTAAAAGTGATTTAAAGGTGAAAATATATAACTATAAAAAGACCTGATCTTGTTGAGATGAGGCTGAAAAAGTCCTATTTTCAGGTTTTTCTTGGTTAAATCAGAACATTGTGTGGCTGAATCTGTTTAACTGTTGAACTTTCAACATTTGGAGGCATAGCAGTTTATCTCAGCTTCCATTAAATAAAACCTAACCCTCACTATTTCTCTCTCTGTTAACTCCATCACCTTCCGCCACCCCACCCACCTCAGACCACACCTACTTCTACAAAGGGAAGGAGTACTGGAAGTTTGACAACCAGAAACTGACGGTGGAACCTGGATATCCAAAGTCCATTTTACGAGACTGGATGGGCTGCTACCAGCCAGAGATGGAGCGCTCCGGCAGCAACCGTGGAGACCGCCAGGTGCCCCTCGACGACGTCGACGTCATTGTGACCATCAATGATGTCCCCAAGACAGTCAACGCCATCGCCGTGGTGATCCCTTGCATCCTGTCACTGTGCATCCTGGTGCTGATCTACACCATTTTCCAGTTTAAGAGCAAAGGAGCGCAGCAGAACACAATGATGCAGCACTATTACAAATACCCAGTGCAGGAGTGGGTATGACAGGGAACCAAAACCTTAAACCTTGCAGGGTCAAGCCTTTGTCGTTTTAAAGCTGGGTTATTCAACAACAACTCTGGCAAAGGACAGACTGGAAGATGCTGCTGGCAAAAGAAGCTGACAGCTTAAAAAAAAGCTCAGAAAGAGTAGATCAAGACTTTGATTTAAAATCTTCTGAGAAGTGTTCATATTTAAGAATGTTAAAACCAAACCTATAAGGCAGTGAAATAAAGTCCAGGGTGACGTTAAAAAAGAAAAAATGAAGTTTGTCTACACCTCTTCTTGGACGTTGGGAGTTCTTGTTGGACCTAAAACAGCTTCTCCTTCTCAGAGAAAATAAGAAGACTTGAGTTTGAAAATGTCCGCCTGGTCCGGCTCTACCTTCAAGTTTGTTCCTCAGACAACTTTACATCTGAACTGCTTTAGTTTTTAGGTTTAAACAAAGTTATGTAAAAAAAAAAAAAAAGGTTAAGAATAAACTTGAAAATTAAACAGGTAGAAAGGCCATAATAAAAAAGAAAAAAAGGATCTCTGTGGATCACAGAACTTTGTTTTCAGTTATACTGAGATGGAAAACTGTTGGAGGTTTTTCTCCCTTTTTTACTGAACCAAATACAAACTCACTACAAGTCATTTTTTTGTTAACATGAAACTCTCTTTATTTAGTAATAGGGACAGAATTACTCAATTAAACCGCCCGATTTTTACAGAAGTAGAAAAGTAAGTCGTCTGCATATAAAGACAGTTCTACAGCCTTATCTGTCCATGCTTGCTGAAGGAAGCTGAGGTTTATAATATTTAAATTGATAAATTGCATAAATAAAAAGTCTGTGTTTATTTAGAGGGTATTTGGTGTTTAGTTTTCCATGAATCTTATAAGGAAACTTCTTGAGATTCACAGTATATATTGACTATAGTGGTAGGAAAGTGGAGCAAATTCTAACTGCTCATGGTGCGTTTATTAACTAGGACAATTCAGGAATTTCGATTGGCTTTTGACTTTTTGGGATTAGGTTTTGAATTTTACCTGGAAATAAGTTTGTGTTTGTCTCCAGGTAACTTAACTTTCCCAATTCCTACCAAAATATTCCAATTCGTCAGACTGAGATTCATTTTAAGCCTGCCTACCACCATTAGATGTTTTTTAGTAAATAATCTAATCTAATCTAACACTTTTTCAGATTTGGCTCAGCAGTTTCCTGATGCTAAATGTCGGCCTGTTGCTAAATTATCTTATACTGATGCTTCACTCACATCATTATGCTGGATGATTGAAAATGAAAGATGAACTGACAATATTATTTTCATTTTTAGTAAATCAGTTAATGATAATCTGAATTATAAAAACTTGAGACAATTACTGAGTTTACATTCAATTTTGATTCCTATAAATAAGAAAGAGGAATCAGAAGATGACATCACAGAAATGCTGGTGAAGGTTCTTAGTCATCCAGGTCATAGTCATCCCAAAAAAACTTGGAACTTAGTCGTATGGAATGACTTGGAACATATTCATTCCAAAAAAAAACTTAAAACTTGGATACCAAGTCCAGTGGATTGTTTATTTTAATTTTTTTTAAATAAGATCACAGAAATGTAACAAAGCCTGTCCTGATACAGCAGGAGGCTAATTTCCACCCCTCTGATTCTGGTCTCTGTGAACCGTGAGAGCAACAGGAGCGAATCAAAAGCCACAGCAGGTGGACCACTGTTACCCCTGATTGGGTAACGATGTGACAGCAGCTTTGCTTTAAACAACGGTTATGAAAGTGCGCATAATGACACCTGTGGGTGAACATGTTGATGGCAGATCTACAGTGTAAATAAGGCGACACAGGCCGTTTGCCCTCAGCTCAAAAAAATCCTAAAAAGCCAAAACTATGGATGGATGAAGTGGAAAATAACTAAAGTAACCTGCAGCTTTGGATATGTAGCAGAAAGATTGTGTTTATTTATTTAATTATTTGTTTATTTTATTTATCTGATTTATGTTTTACAGCAGCAGGTAACCTTCTTGCTGCAGACATTAAAAACTTTTTAATATCCTCTAGATTTCTATAAACTTTGAATAACACATTCCTGCATGATAACATATCGCCTAAAAAAAAGCATTGTTTTATTTCTAACTAAAATGGCGTGGCAAATCTTCCTCATTTACCACTTTTTTAATTGTTTGATCTTCCTGCTATTATTGGTGGACACAGTTTTAACTTAATTCAGAAATAATCAACTTAGATTTAGTTGGTTTACTACTTTTGTAATTGAGAAGTGTTTTTCTACCACTGTCAGCTGTCTAAGTGCCGTTGCTGGACTTTATCATATAGTAGTGAAATGTGAGGATACATGTTAGCTTGCACACCAGTGTTTATATTCACATACTTTTATTTATTTATATTTCTCTTTTGTCTTTAAGTTCTTCAAGTTGGAAAAACTTTGCTCAAAAAAAAGCATCCCTTTACGCTTAACCACAAATTTAATACCAGGAGGTCTTTGGGACGGATTTTGTTTTACTTAAAGCTCATCTGTTCACTGCCAGTAGTATTCAGTCTCCTGTATTTCTTCACACTCAACCAGAAATAATCCTTTATCAGGAATATGTGAAAAATTCTCACTAGAATCAGACTTTTTCAGGCATTCAATTATTAACCTGACTTTATGTTTTCTTACCATAAGGCCCTATCTACACAGAGACAAGGACAGGTGTAGCTGTGCATCTAAACGAAGCCAACATTTTGGGAAAACATGAAACATTTTTAAAACGTGTTCCCAGTGTGCAGAAATTTGGTGAATGTCGGTTTCATTTTTCAGTGTGGATAAGTGAGCTGCAGCTTTTTTTAGCAGTGACATTGTAGCTGAACATAGCTCTGTAAACTGCATGTGCCTCTTTCCCCCCATGCTGTTTCACCCTGCATGAGGTGTTTGTCCAGGCCCGGGGTTTTTGGCTCAATCGGACCTTATAAACCTTATAGTAAAACCTGGTTTATGCTCAGAAAACAGGTCGTCTGTGAGTGTGTCGCAGTTAACACAGAAAGTGCCGCCGATAGCAAGAAATGAAAGAAAGAAGGCCTCTGATTGATAATTTCTACATCTGCTCTACACCATGCATATTTCCTGTTTGGTACCTAATGGCAGAAGCTCTGGCTGTAGTGCTGTCCACAAAGCCTGGCACACCTCAGACACTTTACCAGACACAGTACAGGATGCTAGTTTGTAGCTCTGTGCAATGGTCTGTTGGTTTGCACCCAAAGCCAAAACACGCAGCGCCAATGCCAGTCTTTGGGGAACACTCAGGGGTGAACTGTATGTTGATTGAGGGGTTGTAGACAGCGAACAAGCTCGTCCAACCGACACAAGAACACCCACTATCCTAGCTAGTTCTTGATTGTCCCTCTTGCGCTGTGGCGTAGAATAACATAGAAGTGAGGGACAGATGGAGTGTGAGACTGATAGTGTCATGATTTTATCAAGACCTCGGACCCACATGCAGAAAACCAGTCCAGAGAGACAAGGGAAAAAGTTTAACAGGTTTATCGAGAAGTCTTGTGGAGGTTCCAGTTTTGCTCTAAACACTGCTCAACCAGAACTGAAAGGTGAGGGGAAGACACTGCGGTTAGTTCAGGTTCAGTGGGAGAATTGATTCTCGAAATTGTAGAGGAGAAAAGGTTGGCAGACTCACGTTTCCAGAGATTAGGTTTACTCTTAAACTCCAGCAGGTGAGGAATGTGTTCTGGTGTTTGTCTAATACAGAGAAGGGCGGACAGGGTTACCCAGAATGTGGTTGTTTGAAGATGAATGGAGAAAGACTGACTGCCACTCAGATTTCCTGCGGTATGTGAACGGACTGTTGTGCAGATGAATCCCTTGCTCAGTGTGAAGCTCAAATGTTTCCTCGGGGAAAAGTGCTCAGTTGATCCTTCCAGGGAGAGAAGGTCTGAAAAATCCAGTTTGCAGGATGACTTCCTGCCGAGAGGCAAAGACAAAAACAAGGTTAAGACTCAGGTTGACAAAAACTCAGTTTGACTCAGCCAAACTCAGCTTGGCTAGAGTATCCAAAACTGGGAAACACTCTGGCGTCGAGGTAGTGGCAGTCAGCAGCTTAAGAACACTCAGTTAACGAGGTAACCCCTTGCAGGTGTGTGAGGACGAGAATCAGAACCAGGCAACGCCTGTTGGAGGAAGGAAGACAAACACACAGAAACACAGACCACACAGACAGGAGTCCTAACAGATAGACAGCCTGATTTGAAATATTATGATCTAAGTTCTGTCAGGGGTTTGGGTGTGACTCTGTGGCATTGTCACAGCGCCAACCAAGGAATTGGCAGGTGTACTACAGTGTCTTTATTGGACCTCTATACATTCTCTGGAAAGCAAATTTTTTTCTAAGCTGTTTATGAAAATATATCTCTATAAAATATGTCTTTGTGTGGACCAGGTCTATGTGTTGACATTCTAGTGACTGGAGCCAAAACCACTCAACAAATGAACGAATCCAGCACATTTCAGCCAATCAGATTATACTTTGATCACATGAAAAACCAATCCTTCAGGCAGAATAGAGTCTCTAAACACCTGGTGGTGTGTTAGCCTTTGATTAGCTGCCATTTTGTAATTGTCTCCTCACTCATCTCTATTACGCTACGACCCACCTAACTGTTAAGAGACTCAGCTGACCATATCACATGTTCAAATGACAGTTATTTGATTGGCTTAAAATTGCTTGACTCGGTCATCCTCCAATTGCTTTGGCTTAAATCAACAGATTTCAACACATTTATAGGTACACTTTTGCCGTTGGTTTTTTTTTACTGGAGAAGTAAAAAGATTTCCATACATATTTGCAAATGATGAAGGCTTAGTATCATGAATTCAACATATTAAAATAAGTCTGATTCTATTGAGAATATATTTCTTCCTTGCACAATCAAGTTAAACAATACTATAGGTTTAAGGTTTGCTGTTTTACATTTTATTCTCTTGTAGAAAGAAACAAGCTTTTTTATACATTTTCACTTGTCTCATTGTCCTGTAAGTTGGTTGTTGGCTTCTGTGATGAGATGATCTGGACTGAAACCCTAGTGGAGGGTTTCTATCGCGGTTTGAGGTTTTTTCAAAATAATCTAGACCAGCAGGATGAAGCTTTGGCCTTAAGTCAAGCTGATCTGATAGGACGCAGCAGTTTTTACACCTCCTGGATTTTTGATGGTACTTGTTGTGCTGTAGGACAGGAAGTAAAGGTCTGACGGTGACTGTAATAGCACGCCTGCTGCCGTACTGTGATATGGACTCAGTTCACAGAGTTCTCCTCTCGTCCTCCACGTCCCTGCAGTCGTTCCTCTCCCTCCATCTGTCCTCACAGCTCTTCGTCCAGCTAATCATTTTCCTCTGACCTTCAGCTGATTCCATCTGGCCTGTTATCCCACTTAGCTCACCTTGCTTTGCATCTTTTTAGCCTCCTCCAGC